CCACAACGCCTGGCCATTTTTTGGTTGCAGCCGTCATTGTTGTTTGGCGGGCTCGGGCTGGGGATTCGAACCCACCACCTTAGGTGTATGTGGCTGGCACCTTAGCCACTTGAGCCATAGGCGCCGAGCCTAGTTCCAGTTTTTTATGATCCCTGCCTGGACAACCATGCCCATGAACCATTCACACCCAGTTCCACTGCCCAGCTCTCGGCAGCCACTTTCTGTCTGATGAGGGTTTCCCTACGATGGACATTTTCTATGAAAAGGAAACGTTGTCTTTGGCTCTTGCTTTGTTCACTGAGCATAGAGGTTTCAAGGTTCCTGCATGTGGAAGCTTATGTCAGGATTCAGTTTCTTTTATCTGCCAGATAACATTCCATTGCATGGATGGGCCACACTTTGTCATCCAAATATGTGTGGATGGACTTTTTTTTCGTTCTACCTTTGGGCTTTACAGATAAGGCTGTGACAAGCCTGTGGGCACATTTTCTCGCTTGAGCTCCTGTTCTAGTGACAGATGCTTCTTCCCATGTTCCCTGTAGCTGATGGTCTTCCATAGGTCTACATATTGTTTGTGATTCAGGGCAAGATTTAATGTTAAACGTGACACAAGAACAAGCCTCAGGTCTCATGGGCATCCCTGTGGGCACAGGGGGATTCAGCCACAGGTGCAGCCAAAGGCCCAGGTCCTAGGGCTGCTCCATTGTGGGAAGCTGGGAACTTGTCTCTTGTGGTGTCCTGCCTAGGGTTCCACTTGACCTAGTAGTCAGTGTGTACTCAGGGGCCCTGTGTCTGTCCCCTGCGTCTGGGCCTGGCCCAGCCATTAAGTTGCCAGGCACTAGGTTCACTCACTGAGAAGACACAAGGGCTCAGTGTACACCCAAGGACTGGAACACAGGTGAAGAGAGGCTTTCCTTACCACCCTCGCTTCTGGGAGCATCAACCCAAGCCCTAGATGTCTTGGTCTAATGGCAGAAATGTGACCCTCACTGTGCCCGTGGGCCCTCTCCCTGTTTCTCTGCAGGCTCTGACTCTGGGTTGGCTCTGAGGCTGGTGAACGGAGGTGACCACTGTCAAGGCCGGGTGGAGATTCTGTACCGAGGCTCCTGGGGCACCGTGTGTGACGACGGCTGGGACACCAATGATGCCAACGTGGTCTGCAGGCAGCTGGGCTGTGGGCGGGCTAGGTCAGCCCTAGGAAATGCCCACTTCGGCCAGGGCTCAGGGCCCATTGTGCTGGACAATGTGGCCTGCTCAGGGCATGAGTCCTATCTGTGGAGCTGCCACCACAACGGCTGGCTGTCGCATAACTGTGGACACAGTGAGGACGCTGGAGTCATCTGCTCAGGTGGGCCTGCAAGACATTGGGCTTCTAGTTGAGTGTGTCGTTTTCTCCATGAAAAGGCTTTTCCTTGCACAGGACTCCCCTGTCCCCGAGCTCCTCTGCAAGATGGGCTTTTTTTCTGATACCTTAATAGGAAAGTAGCATCCGTCCTCAGCTGTTGGTGTCTTTGAATTTTATTAGCTTCTTCCTTAGGAAGGTCCCTACTGAAAACATGGTTCAGTCTTCTTTAAGGTTGTAAGAATAGATACTCCTGATGCTTTTTTTTGAGACAAACCCTTGTGGCTTGTGTGTCTTATTCAGCCCTCCTGTGCCACTCTCAGGAGCATTTCTCTGTGTAAGGAGGGCATAGGCCCTGCATTCTTCTCACTCAGCGCTCTGGCACTGAGACTGACGTGTGTGTTCTTCCTTCTCTTGCAGGAAACCCCGTAAATTCTACAGGTGAGTCTGTCCTCCCAGCCTGGCAATATTCTTCTCAGAATTCTACTCCCTCTTATTTTCAGAAGAGAGAGGACATGGGTGGGCCCCTCCTGAGGATTGATTTCCCTCTGAAATTTGTTAAGGTGACAAGCTGAGTTTCTGGGCTCATCATGGGTAGCTCAGCCTTGGAGAGCCCTCTGGCCTCCTGCCATATCCTGTTGACGGTGCTTGTTCAGAGGTGTCACTGGTGGAAGGGGCATTGTCCTCCCATCATTTCTGATAAAAATAACTGTCTAAATCAGTCCATGGAAAATTGTGACCTTCGTTTTAGGAGGATGGCCAAGTAATACTTCTGCACATGTTTGTCTAATAGAGAATTCTGGCCAGGTGCAGTGACTCATCCCCGTAAACACAGGGGTTTAGGAGGCCTAGGCTGGAGGATTGCTAGAGGCCTGGGGTTCAAGACAAGTCTAGGCAACATAGTGGTATCTCATCTATACAACAATTTTTTTTAAAAGTAGCCAGGCATATTGGCATATGCCTGTAGTCCTAGCTACTCAGAAGGCTGAAGCAGGAGGATCACTTGATCTCAGAAGTTCAAGGCTGCAGCGAGCTATGATTGTGCCACCACATTGCAGCCTGGGCAACAGAGAAACCCTATCTTAAAAAAGAACAAACAAACAAAGAGTAAAACAATCAAATAAAATAGTAGGAAGAATTCCTTCACATTGAGGGAGTAATCCACAAAGTGTTCTTTGTGTTGCAATGAACATGAAAATATCTTGGACCAAATACATTGGGAAGTGCCATGTACTCTGGCTCTTAGTAGCCATTAGCAGTGTCAACTGGAATGGCCTAGGCTCTGAGCAGTCCCGTGCTAAGAAAAAGATTCAACTTTGTTTATCAAACAAGTGACTATGGAAGTGATTATCTGTGAAATCCTAAAACAGCTTCACTTTCTTCCTAGGTTGGCCGTACCCAATAACTACAACCACTGCGAGTAAGTGTCATGTTTGCCACCTGCCCTGAAGGACATGAATTTCTTATTCTCAAGCTTGGCTATCTGTAAAGTGAAGCTTCCCTCCACTCCACCCCTAGCCCTACAGCCACCCTCATCCTCACCATCTTCCCCATCTGCATACACATCCTATCCCTGGCCTCTCCTATCACCCCGCACCCAGCCTGCACACCCACACCCTTCACATCTCTTTTGCTGGGAAGAATTCTTTTATTTTAACTAAACAGTTCTATTTCCTCTTCATGTGAATCAGTGAGATAAATATTCTTAAAAGAATATACCTTAAGATCTTTATTTTTTGGAGTATTTACAAAGCTTTGAGAAGAAGAAGGTAGATAAATAATAAGTGGATAATTTCAAAAGTAATGATGTTTTTCCATGTAAGTTTTATTTCATGATATGGGCAAGTTTGGGGGGGCACCTATGGCTTAAAGGAGGAGGGTGCCAGCCCCATATGCTGGAGGTGATGGGTTCAAACCCAGCCCCAGACAAAACGGTAAAAAAAAAAAAGAGGATATGGGTAAGTTTCAGTAGATTTCTCTTGCTCTTCAAAAAAGATATAGCTACTTTTCTGTGTCATTAACTATTTTCTCACCATTATTTTATTTTTTTTCCTCACCATTATTTTAAATATCTGAGTTGTACGTATTATGTTGTACAACTAGGCCATCCATTATTTAACTGGTCACCAGTTGGCAGACATTTAAGTTGTTTTAATTTCTTAATTAGTGGAAAGGATTCTGTGATGAAGACTATTTTACAGATAGATCTTAGCCTATATCAGTAATTTTTCCTTTAGGATGGAAATAGATTTAGTGGATTAAAGTAAAGGTAGTGCCTGGTACCCAGAATGTACATGGTAAATATTAACTCCTACTACGTTAAGGATCTTAAGATCTTTCCATGTGTCTCCACCAAATTGCCGTGGAGAATGGTTGTAAAATTACAGAAGGCTGATAGAGATAGCTGATTTCCTACCTCCGAGCTTACAGTATCTAATATTGAATACACAGTTAACTAGGGAATTACAGTTGTGTTAGGGGAGGTTCTTTCTGGGAGTGATACTTGCAATGGGACTTACAGGAGCAGGTTCATTTGCTCGGTGTCCCTCATCCAGGAGAAACGTGAAGGTCCCCAGGTAGGAGGTAGCTTCAAGGGGGGGGTGCGGCAGGAGTGCCTGCAGGGGGAAGTGAGTGAGGGCCAGCGTTAACATGTGTGTTAAGATGCTTGGCTTTATTCTAAGGGAAGTTTGGGATGCTCAAAAGTTTTAAGTTGAGGAATTACACAGTTGGAAGTGTATTTGCAAATGACCATGCTCATCTTTCCTGCCAAACTGTGTGTTTCCTGGAGGCAGGGGCCACAGCTGCTTTTTTAATAATGCGTCCTTATTACCTGGCGTTGTGTCTTCCATTCGAGAAATGGTTGTTGAAAGAACAAGTGAATGAGTAGATTGATTAAGGAATGAGTACATAATTGCTAGGGACATTTTGCCACACATCACGCACACACAGTATAACGTCCCCGCTTTGTAGCAATCATTTTCATTTGTGTATATAATACACCATACTTTTTCCCCCTGACCTTTCAATGAGCATGTTTATGGTATTGAAATTATTTCTATACTGTAAGGTTTAATGACTGCACAATTTTCAATTGTCCAAATAAACTATTAATTTAGCTAAACAATTTCTAATTCTAGAGCAAAAAGACTATTTCTATTTTATAATTTTAACTATATATAAGAACACATTTTATTTTACTTTTATAACTCTCCTGAGAAATCTGTAATTCTTATCTTTGTCTCTAAAGCTCAGACTTCATCTGTAATTATTTCCCAGTGTAAAAATAGAACTGCTAGGTAGGCACATTTTAGAGGCCAAATCTATCTTTTAAAAACACCATTTCCCCACAAAATGGGAGAAAATATTTGGAAACCATATATCTGATAAGGAATTTCACATGGAATATATACATTAACTGCCTTTAGTTAACGACAAAACATTAATAACCCCACTGGATAATGGGCAAAAGATCTGAATAGACACACAAATGGCCAACACGCACGTGGAAATGTGCTCGGCATCATCAGGCATCAGGGACGCACAAATCAACCCATAAAGAGGTAGTACTTTACGCCCGGTAGACAGGCTGTAATTAGGAAGTTGACTGGTGAGAGTGGAAGAATCAGACTCTCATACACGGCTGGCGGAAACGTTAGGGGTGCGGCCACTTTGGAAACAGTCCTTAAACGGTTAAGCTCAGAGTTGCCATGTGACCCAGCAATTATCCCCCTTCATATATACTCAGAAGCAATGAAGGCTTATGTGCACACAGAAACTTGCACATAAGTGTTCAGAACAGCCCCAAGTGAAAACCCCTTAAATGTGGGTCATAGTGAACAGACGAACAAATGTGGCACAGTCACTCGATGGGATATTATTTGGCAATAAAAAAGAATTGAATGCTGATTCATGCTACAACACGGACGACCTTTGAAAACACGCTGAATGAAAGAAGTCAGTGAAAAAGAGGCTGCCTGCTATCCGATCCCGTTTATATAAAATGTCCAGAGGAGGCAAAGCTACGCAGGCCGACAGTAGATCAGTGGTTGTCGTGCGCTAAGCGTGTTGAGGGAGAAGGAGAGTGACTGCTAGAGGGTTTGGGGTCTCCTTGGGGGTGCTGAAAACATTCTGGAATTGACATGTCACGGTGGGCACAGAGCTCTGAATATACTAAAACCCACTGAACTGTCCATTCTAGAAAACGTAAAAGACAAGAGGCACGAGGAAGACAGAAGGACACGCTGTGATTTGTGCCACCACCCAGCGCACAGATGGTTTTAAAAGCTCTATTACAATAAACCAACAAAAATTCAAATGTTTAGTATTTACCCCTCTCCGATAATAATAATAGTTAATATTGTTGGGTGCTTATCATGCACCAGGCACTGTCTAAACGTATCTCATTTTTATGTGTACACGTACGGGTATATATACATTTTCAATACCCTAAGGGTCTGAAGAGGCAGCTCCCATTTTTCTGATGAGGAAACTGAGGCACAGTGGTTAAGATCAGGACCATGGAGCTGATGGAGGCAGGACCAAGAGGCAGACCCTGGCCTCCTGTTGCAGAGAGCCTTGTCCCATCGCACTTTGCACAGCCTGTCAAGTATCAGGACCCTGTGCTCAGCTGCTTGAAGAATGACGGCGGTCCCTGAGTTGCTTTCTTGGTGTTTTTGTTACTGGTTGACGCAAGCTGTCTGAAGCTTAGGTCACCTCCTTGGGGAGACTTGCCATCCATGCCTAAGTGGGGAAGCAGAGACTCAAATCAAGGCTGATTATGTCGGCCAGCCTAGAACCAGCCCCAGGAGGGGAGGGAAGCTTATTATGGGAAAAATTAGGTCATGTTAGAAGGTGTAGAGGATGACACTAGGAGGACTCTCACCCAGAAAGATGATTGCTTCACGAAACATTTGAAGGCCCGCCACAACCGAGATAATCCCCCTTCCTCTACAGGACCATCTTTAAACTGCGGTGGCTTCTTATTCAATGACAGCGGGACGTTCTCCAGCCCATCCTACCCGGGGTACTACCCCAACAATGCTAAGTGTGTCTGGGAAATAGAAGTGCGTTCTGGTTATCGCATCAACCTGGGCTTCAAAAATCTGCAGTAAGTAACACCAGGCCCCCTGGGGAGGGTGAGGCCTCTACAGCACACCAGTGGTTCAGGCTGTGGCCTGGGCTGGGATGCTTTTCACATTCCTATGCCATGGACAGGCTTTGGGTTGCTTTGATCCCTACCAGGAAGCATCAGGCAATGTTAGGAAGCTCTTTAATCTGATTGAGGAAGCACTAGAAGAAAAACGTATGCAGTTAGCTGGGCATGGTGGCACATGCCTGTAGTCCTAGGTATTCAGAAGGCTGAGGCAGGAGGATAGCATGAGCCCAGAGTTTGAGGTTGCAGTGAGCTGTGGTGATGCCACTGCAGTCAAGCCTGGGTGAAACAGAGTGAGACCCTGACTCAAAAAAAAAAAAAAAAAAAAAGAAAAAAAAAGGGCATGTTCAATAGCATCACTCATAAAGTGCAATTATCTGTAAACCGTAGGGGAATTTTAATGTTGAGCTTAATACATCTTTTTCCCATACAGGTTGGAGCCCCACAGCAGTTGCAATTTTGATTATGTTGAGATCTTTGATGGACCATCGAATAGGAGTAATGTACTGGGGAAGATCTGTAATAACACCTCAGAAATATTCACATCTTCTTCCAATCGAATGACCATTCAATTTCGGAGTGACATCAGTTTCCAAAACATCGGGTTTCTAGCTTGGTATAACTCCTTCCCAAGAGGTGAGTCCAATGCAGACCTGGTCTTTGGGGCTTGGTGGATTCATGTCACCCCCTCTGTGGGTGCATCCCGGGAACAGCAAGGAAGTGCATCAGCGACATGTTGTACATGCTCGTCCTCTCCCTGGGGACTGTGTGAGCCCGGGAGGGAGAGGTGGTTGGCCAAGGGTCATGTGTGCGCTCTACGAGATACATCAGGCCTTGGGTCTGCCGCCAACTTCCTGGGAACTCTTCTTGCCTGGCTTCCTCATCTGGAGGTAGGGGGTGAGTTCTGTGGTGTCTGGGGTCCCCTCCAGCTGCCCAGTGTCCCCACCTCAAGCTCTCAGCTCTCTATGTGGGGAATTGCAGGTAGGGAAAGGCCTGGGGAGCCCCAGGGCCTTTGAGGTTTGTTAGGGGGCACGGCCGTCACCTTTTACTGCCTGTGTCTTTCAGACGCCAGCTTGAGATTGGTCAATGGAAACTCCTCCTATGATGGATGCTCTGGGCGTGTGGAAATTTACCACAGTGGCAGGTGGGGGACCGTTTGTGATGACACCTGGACCATTCAGAACGCCCAGGTGGTGTGCAGACAGCTGCAGTGTGGCTACGCGGTCTCTGCCCTGGGAAATGCCTTTTTTGGCTCTGGCTCTGGCCCCATCACTCTGGATGATGTCGTGTGCTCCGGGACAGAATCCACCCTCTGGCAGTGCCGGAACCGAGGCTGGTTCTCCCATAACTGTGGCCACCATGAAGATGCTAGTGTCATCTGCTCAGGTATGACACGAGGTCACTTTGCCTGTAACAGTGAAAGCTGAAGGCTGGTGGCAGATGGGATCTACGGCTCAATTCTAGAGCTAGGGTAGGCAGAAGTTGTCACCTTGTCCCTTTGGCCTGTCTACTCCAGAACTCCAGTGCAGGGGCCCTTTTTTTGTGCCCAGTTTCTGGACCCAGGGCCCTTATGCTGGACATATGGCTCAATGACCTTTAGCAATGATCTAACTTTTCTAAGCCTCAGTTTACTTGTTTGTTAAGTGGGGCTGATCATAATCCCACTTGCTGTGAATGATAGGAGGATGATTTTAGAACAATTCTGGGCAAGTAGAAGGTGATGACCATTGTGAGTGCAGCTGTGGCTGCTGTGACTCCAAATGGGGGAGCTGGGAAACCTAGTTAGGCCTCTTAGTGCAGGTTTCCTACCTGCCCCAGGTGCACGGGGCCCCAGATACGCTCACCAGTGGGTTCAGATTGTGAGTCACCGGGGTGTGTTGCTGCCTCCTTCTGCCCAGCCCCACTTTGGTAACCTGTGCTTTTCTTCTATCCCTGTCTAGGACCCGTCACGACAACCTCTGGTAAGGACCTGTGATTTCCATCTCACTCCCCGGCGTCCAGGCCTCTGGGCTGCTGTCCCCAGACTACGCAGGGCGTGTTGCTCGCTCTTTAAGCAGTTCCCTTTCCTGCCTTCCCAGCCCACCACATCCCCTGCCGGGCCTCTCTCTGCCCTTCGGTGGACTGGCCCACCTAACATTTGGCTTTCCAGCTACCTGTCAGGTCTGCCTGAGCTCCCTGACACCAGACCCTGTCCCTGTGGGCCCGGTGGGGCCTGCTCCTCCCCTGAGCTGGGTGTCTGCAGGCTGCTGCTCCTCGTGGTCTGCTCCTAGTGTTCCCAGCACACTGCTGGCCCTCAGGTCCATCCTCCCCTGTGCTCTGCCTTCTCATGGCTCACGGCTCCCAGCTTCCGGTAGCAGTGACAGCTTTAGGCCTCCTCTCCTGTCCACCCCCTGCTGGGCAGCCAGGGCCGTATTAGGTCACCTCCAGCCTCTGCCCACCCTTCACGGCTCTCTTTGGGGACTCCCCAGTGCAGGTCCCCCCTCAGCATGCCCACGGGACTCCCCACAGTCACTCCTTTTATCTGCTTGGTGCCTTCTCTCCCCGCCCTGCCCATCCACGCCAAGGCTCCCACGCCTCTCACACCTGGGTCTCTGTGCGTGTGGGTGCCCTCTCCTGCTTGGGGCTCCCCTCTCTACCTCTCTGCGGCCCTCAGATCACCTACTCTCTTCCTCCACTCAGTCCGCGCCAGGAGCAACCTCTGGGCTCTCACCTTCCCTCACCTCACCCCGCTCCACCAGGACTCACACTTTCCCATCCTCGCCTCCAGACTGAGCTCCCCAAGGGTGTGGGATGCACCCACCTCTCCCGGTAGACCCAGAGTGGCCTGCACAGGCAAGCATGTGGCACTTGGGTCAAGGATGGCAGAAAACTGACCGTGACCTTTTCTTTTCTTCACCAGCTCCAGTTGCCAACATCACGCACCCGAATAGTAAGTTCCGAGTTCCCCGCTCAGCCTGTGGCAGGAAGTCCCCTTCCCTGTCCCTTGGTGGCACTGTGGGGGTACAATGTGATACAAGGAGATGGCCTCGCTAAGCAAGGCCTCCCCACCAACCCCCAATGGAGGGTTCAGATCTAGCCCACCTCTTCTTGGGTTTCTGTCAGGGAATTGTGGAAAAAATTCCCCCCAGCTGACCGCAGAGTGCTCTGGGGCTCAATGCCATTTCCATCTCATTGTGACAGCAAATTATTCCTGTGGAGGCTTCCTGTCTCAACCATCAGGGACGTTTTCCAGCCCATTCTATCCTGGGAACTATCCGAACAATGCCAGATGTGTGTGGGACATTGAGGTCAGAAATAACTACCGTGTGACTGTGGTCTTCAGCAACGTCCAGTAAGTGTGTGGGTGTGTTGGGCCCTCACAGACACTTTAAGAGGGAACAAAAGGTGCTTGGAGCGTCAGGAGACCCGTTTGCTAGGTGATGTTCTTTATCATGGGTTCAACTTTTGACTCAGCACAGGGGCAGCCCTTGGAGGGTAGAGTGGACCCTCAGTGGGTTTCCCGGCTGCCCCATCACTGTTGGGAGTCACAGCATCACAGCCACAGTCATACTGACCATCGCCTTCTACTTGCCCAGAATTGTTCTAACATGCTCTGGTTTAAAGTCCCAGGTATGTCACTAATGTTCTGTGTGGCCACAGAAAGTCACTCAGCTTTCCTGAGCCTCAGTCAAAAGAAGGGATTAAAATATCTGGTGTCCTCACTACTTACCTGGCAGGCCACAAGAGAGGAAAATAAGTGAACATACTTGGAAAATGTCATCTAGTAGAAAAGATAGTTGTTAGGAGAGCTGAGAGATAGTCTTAGAGGTCAAAATAACACAAGCAATTCGTTTTGTTTTGTTTTGAGACAGAGTCTCACTTTGTAACTCCTGATAGAGTACTGTGGCATCATAGCTCATATCAACCTCCAACTCTTGAGTTCAAGTGATTCTTTTGTCTCAGCCACCCGAGTAGCTGGGACTACAGGTGCCTGCCACAATGCTCAGCTATTTTTAGAGACAGAGTCTTGTCCTGGCTCTGGCTGGTCTCATACCCGTGAGCTCAAGGCAATCCACCTGCCTCACCCCCCAGATTGCTAGGATTACAGGCGTGAGCCACCACACCCAACCAACACAAGCGATTCTATTAACCATGGCACCTGTTTCGTGGGACCCTTTTCTACCCACACCTCCTTTCCCAGGCAGAGGTAGAGAAATTGCTGCTGCAGAGGTTAGGTTATCTGCATCTAATCACAAGAGGAAACCATTGTTTTTAGTAGAGGAGACATCACCAGAGGCACATTAATATATGAGTTATCCAAGGGCAGGGGTGGCCAGACTGACCACTAAGGGGCCCTGGTATTGTGCAGTGTTCTGGACCAGGGGGAACCATGATTTCCCCTCTGACACCCAACGCTGAACAAAATAGTTCTTCCTCTTGGTTTCCATTTGCAGTGGCCTTGGCAGTCTCTGCCTTAACACTTCATTTGGGATTTTGCCCAAGATGCGTTAGTTTAATCTCTTTGCCATTATGATATAACGACTGCACTTAAAGCTCATGAATCCAATGGGAAAGGTTGACCATGACCAGGTCTTTAACCAGCGTCTTGATAACAATGACCTTCACCTTCTGTGACAAAGTCTACAAAGCACTCTTCCTCTGAGCCTCCTAACAGCCCTCTTTGGTGTGGGTGGACAGAGTTATTTTGCCATTGTAATTAAGAAACCTGAGCTTTGGAGAGCTTGTTTGGCTTGTCCCATTTTTACTTGTTTAATTCTTCATTTCTATCACTATGGATTGGTGGACATTTATTTCATTCTGTGGGGTATCTGGGGACTTTTTGATATAAGAGAAATGGTCTAAATTGGGATGTAAGCCCTTGCTTTTGTGATGTACAGGGCTGTCAGAGCAGGGCATGGGACTAAGACCCAGGCGTGGAGGTCATGGGAGAATTTCCCTTGGTTTAAGGAAACCTGTTATTTTCAAGGATGAACTTTGTCAGTTTCTGGCACAGAGGTGTGACCCCCCTCCCTGAGGTTGACTGACCTGTGTCACATTCTAGCGCAAATGAAGCTGGAACCTCATGTCCTCTCTCCGCAGGCTGGAAGGCGGCTGCAGCTATGATTACATCGAGGTGTTCGATGGTCCCTCCCATAGCTTTCCACTCATTGCTCGGGTTTGCGATGGGGCCAGCGGCTCCTTCACATCATCGTCCAATTTCATGTCAATTCGCTTCATCAGTGATGGCAGCATCACAAGGAGAGGGTTCCTGGCTGAGTACTACTCCAGCCCTTCCAACGACAGCACCAGTAAGCCCCCTGGCGTGGATGCCTGGGCAGGAGCGGGGCACACTGAGAACCTATGCGTGTTGTGAAATAAGACATTTCAGCAGCCTTGTCAGGCCTCCAGGTCTTGAGTTCCTACTGAAAGGGGCCAAGAACTGTGGACCTGGGGATTCCAGCTGCTCAGAGAAAAGGTCCCAGGGCCAGAACTGCTGGTGGGGGTAGGCAGTGTATTGGCCTCACTGTGGTCAGCAGATACTAAGTAGACAGTGTGAGATGATGTGCTCTGCAGTGAGACGTCCATGTCAAAGGCAGCGGGGACCCCTGGCCTGAAGCCTTGTGACCTTTGCAGAGTGCAGGACACTGGCCATGTCCTAAGACCTAACATACTTTGCATCTATCTGAAGCTGGACTGAGCTGGAAGCTCGGCCACTTCCCACACAGGCTCTATGGCCACAACTGGGGTTGTTAAGTGGATGGATATATAGATTGGCCAAAGGCCAGACACGGTGATATCCGTGGTCTCCTAGGCCACCAGGATTCAGAGCCCTGACTGGCTCTGCGGCTAACAGGCCTCATTTTATGACATCTTCCCAGTGTTAAGTGTAGAGATACTTTGCTTTATATGTAAATGGTAACTTGGCAAAGCATTTCCCTTATTTAAAATCCTGCCTCCAATGATCCATCAGAGAAATTCTGAGTTCATGTGCCACATTGGGCTTCCCTGACTGAGGAGTGGGCTGGCTGGGTGGGGGTGTGTGTGGCAAGGTCCCTTCTTTGTATATGTCCCAAGGGCTGGCCAGCTCCATCAGCCATCTTGACCCAACGCCCATAAGGGGAAGGCCGCCTGGGGGGATGGTGGGTTTGGGGCGCTCACTGAGTCATTGTCTGCCCTGTCTGTCAGGCCTGCTTTGTCTGCCAAATCACATGCAAGCCAGCGTGAGCAGGCTCTACCTCCAGTCCCTGGGCTATTCTGCCAGGGACCTGGTCATTTCCAACTGGAATGGGAGCTACAGCTGTCAGCCCCAGATCACGCCGAGCCAGGTCATATTCAGAATCCCCTACTCAGGCTGCGGCACCATCAAGCAGGTAAGCCCGGGGCTTCCCACTCTATTTCCTACAGAACAAGATTTCTTGCAGTGACACATGCTGTGCTTCTCGGATCCCAGGGTCCAGAGGTCAAGATTATGGTAGGAGTGTTTGGTGCTGTGAACAGCCATAGCCACTTCCAAAAAGGAGGGAGGCAGGGGAAGGAAGCTCAGTGGGAGGGGTCTCTCCAGCTGTGTCAGCAGACAGGATATCTGACATATCACAGTCACAGCAGCAGCTCCCAGGAGCAGGTCTGTATTTTGTAAGACCTGAAGCTTATGCAGTTTGAGTTGGGTGGGTGAGAAGGCCAGAGGCCTCGTTAAGTCAAATAATGCAAATATATTTCACTTTCATAAGTTGGTAAAAACACACGGTTGTGCACGTTGTTAGGCCTTAAAGGAGGCCTATGCCCTGGCTTGAGGGGGACCCTAAAACTCAAGGCCGTTAGGCTCACAGTAAATCGGCCTCTGCAGCTACCCTTTGTTGAGCTGTCACCGTCTGGAGTGACTGACCATCTTGGTTTGCCTGGGACTTCGCACATTTTAGCACAGAAAGTTCTCCATCCCAGGAAACCCCTCACTCACTTCTAGGCAACATGAGACAGCTGGTCACCCTACAAGTGGAAGACACTATGATAGTCTGTGTCATAGTCCCCAGATTCTCATCACGTATTCTCTTATTGAGACTGAGCTAACAGGGGTCAAGGAGCTTACCCAGGGCCACTCGGCCAGCAAATGCTAGCGTCTGAGAATCTCAGAAATGTTATGCTGAGTGAAGGGAGCCAGACAGAAGAGCCTATGCTTTGTGACTCCATCTACATTACAACTTAGAAATGGAGGATACATGTGTGATGACATAAATCTGCCCAGGGGTCACCTGCTGCTAGGCTGGAGGGGAGGGACATCAGAGGGCTGGGGGCAGCGGCTTGGGTGTGGAGCTGCTGCTTACTATGGAGGCAACCCCAGGGTCAAGCCTCATCAGATGGTACCTTTATCATGGGTGCTTTAATTTTATGTAAATTTATTTTAAATTAGCCATTTTAAGTTCTAAAGTTTTGTCTGACACCTACATAATTATTTTAAGGTTTCATCTGTCAAAGACAAAAAAGTGCCATTGCTTTTATTTGGCTCAGGGCCACAGTGAACACACACATGGATGCTCGTGCCACACACGTGTTCAGATGGCTTCTGTGTGTCGGGGTCATGTTCCTTCAACAAAGACACATAGAGCATTTGTTGTGAGCTCGGTGCTGGGCCAGTGCTGAGAGAATGATGTTTGTTATGTGGCGATGTCGCCCTGCTCCTTTGTCACTCAGGAAACTCAGAGAGGAAATGACACTCATTTAGCCAATGGGCGGGCCTGCTGGCCACAACACCTGTGTCTGAGGGCCTGCGGTTGCCATGTGGTCGCCCCACCCTGTAGCTAGACCCGAACATAGCGGGTAGACTTTGCAGGGGCAAGCACATATTGCTCATACCGTACAAGCTTCTATTCTATTCTGTGTTTCTGTTTCTCTCTGTAAATTAATTGTGTTGGGTTCTGGATTGTCATGGAGTTGGTCAGTGAGAGTCAGTTCGCTGAAGGTGATAATTATTTTTGTTCCAAACACATACCCTGGAGCCTCTGATGTCTGACCAACCCCACTGACAATCCTTCACACCCATTTGCAGAGCCAAATATAGCGCCAACCCTGTTTCTTCTAGCTTGGCTGGTGGAGACAGTGCCTGCCATGTTCTTATCCTTCCATCTAAGTAGCTGCACACCTACCAACTGAGGGCTGTGACGTTACCACAGTGTCATTAACAGCGAATGTGTGTGCCAGGCACTGAACTAAGAGTTCACCATGACTGTTCAAATTCTCGGGACTTTATTCCCATTTAATCATAAGGCAATGGAGCGGTGTTTTTCAACCTTTTTAAAAATCTCATGGCACATCTTAACCCTATAGTTAAACTTCCATGGCACACTTAAATTATGTTGATCCAGAAAAAGAGAAAATAAAAAAAAGAATATACTTAACTGTGCTTTCAACTTCTTTCAAAAATAATTAATGATATTTTACAAATTTTTGAGGCACACCTAAGATCCTCTCATGGCACACCAGTGTGCCAGGACACACTTGTTGAAAATCACTGCAGTGGAGGTCTACGGAAAGGGTGCCACTTGCCCATGACCATATGGTCATGAAGCGCTACAGGGCAGGGTTGTGAGGCCCATAGCTGGAGCTTTCCGCAACTCCACCAGGCTTCCCCATTTAGCAGTTGTGTGGCGAATGCCTGCTGATGTGGCTGAGGGAGACAACACCTGGCCACCATGAGAAGGCTCCCAAGGCAGGAAGGGTCGAGTCTGCACGGGACACCAGTGAACTCATCAGCAAGACTTTCCATTACAGAGGAGATTGGCTTCCTTCCATACTGAACTCATTATGAATTTTAATCTAAAATTAGAACTGCTGCTTCTGACCAAGAAATAAATCTGCACTGCACGTTCATTGCTTGGAGTGGATTCAGAATTTAGCTCAACCATAGAAGTCCTAGACAAATGTAAACTCCATGAACATGTTCATGGTATTGTACAAAGTGAAAGCATTACGATTGACTTTGAAAAAGTGAGAAGGTGACAAAAATCCTATGGAGTTTATTGTGACAATCATTGGTGTAAAGGCAGAAAATGTAACGGGCCCAGAACTCAGCCCAGAGTATGGGCTCTGGCGACCCCTGCTGGCCAAAATGACCAGCGCAGGCTCCTAGTCAGCCTGGGAAAAGGCAACCCAGAGAACAGGGAGAAAGAAATGTCTAAGAGGCAGTAGAAACCACTTTAAGTTTCTTGTAAAGTTTTCCCCAAGTTTGGTCTGGAAGGGTCACAGCCAGAGAAGATCTCTGTGACTGAAGACCAGACATAGAAGAGTCTCTAGCACACGCCATTCTAAAGAGTACTTATGGCTGAGTTGTGTCAGTGTTGGCTTCAGAAGGGACCTTGTCTAATGTCTGGACCAGCCAGGAATGGAGTTTTGCCTTTGACAGTGGCAAAGGGCTTCTGTGTAGCTCACCATGGTGTTATTTTCATCCTCATTCCGAGGTGTGCTGGGATTCTTGTCATATCTGGCTAGGAGAAGTTTGCTTCTGACCGTCAGAGCCTGTGGGAGGGGAAGAATTCCTGCAGTCTCCAGCCTAGAGATGGCTCGAGTGAGCCACACTCAATCGGGGGCCAGCTGATTACAATGGCGGCCTGGTGGACTGATGTTTCTTGCCGCTGGCCCCTGCACCTTTCATTTATTGCACAGACATTTACAGGTGCTACTACTGCTATTGACGACAAGGCCAAGCCCAGGGAAAATGATGTTTAGGCATCATCCTTTCTTGTAGGTGCTCTCATGCTTGCAGGGGTAAGGCAGTCATCCCTGGAATGGTCTCTCTTAAGACATCCCAGGCACCTCAGGGGAGTGAGAGACCAGTGTTCTTAGGAATTTGCTGCTTAGTGAAAGGCACAGTAGGAAACAGTCCCTTGGTATAGGGACGCAGAAAAGCAGCATGGAACAGATTCTCTTCTGGTATTACCATGGCCCACCTGATTGTCCACGTGCCTCTGGGGAAGTCCCTACCAGCCCTCTGTGGCTTCAGCTCCCCCAGCGTTAGATTCCACGCTGTAATCGCTCCCAATCAAAACAGAAAACAAATACAACTAATCCCATCAAACCCCATCCCCATAAATTTGTGACTGCCCCTTTGAGTAACTCCTTCAATAGTGAGAATGAAACAGAACAAGCCAGGCGGGCCTGAGGCACACGGTCCAAACACAGCTAGTTACGAGGCAAGATGTGGGCTCATCAGACACATTCATCTTGAAGTGTGCTGCCCCATGGCCCCAGGAGCTGGGCCACAACTGTGGTCCTCACATGTGGCGGAGGAAGGGGGGAGGTGTGAAAGGAGCTGAGTCGTGCTCCATGAGCCGGGGGTCCAGCCCCCCACCCAGTAATAGTGGCCACAGGAGTATGCCTGTGCCATCTCTGTGTTGTTCTGGGAGGATCCGGATGTCTTGTTGAGCTGCTCCCCTCTCATCCCACCTCACATCTGCACTGGTGTCCCTTGGCAGGTGACGTTCACCTAACTGCTCTCCTGCCTGCCTCTTCTAGGTAGAAAATGACACCATCAACTATTCCAACCTCCTGAAAGCAGTTGTGTCCAGTGGCATCATCACAAGGAAGAAGGACCTCCACATCCACGTCAGCTGCAAGATGCTCCAGGACACCTGGGTCAACACCATGTACATCACCAACGACACCGTCGAGGTGCAGGAAGTCCAGTATGGCAACTTCGACGTGAATATCTCCTTTTACACGTCCTCCTCGTTCCTGTATCCTGTGACCAGCAGCCCGTACTATGTGGACCTGGACCAGAATCTGTACCTCCAGGCTGAAATCCTCCATTCCGATGCCTCCCTGGCCTTGTTTGTGGACACCTGTGTGGCGTCCCCTCACCCCAGTGACTTCACATCTCTGACTTATGATCTACTCCGCAGTGGGTAAGGACCGACTCTGTGGGATGGGCTTCGACCTTTACCTGACAGCTTCAGCGTGAGCAGCTCAAGGAAGGCAGATTCTGGTTAACCACACAGTTCCTAGTAGTTCAAGTTTACTTAGATCCTTTTCTACATATGATAACATCTGGTGGCTTCTACCATTTGAGGTGCTTTCATGCTGTGTCCTGGATCACATCCCTGATGAGACGGGTGGAGTGATCATGTGTCATCTCTAGTGAGCATGTGGGGAGAATGGACCAAGCCCACCAGTGGCCACCTGTGGGTTGGCTGTAAACTGGGATTAGACACCGGCCTCAGGCTTAAAAATCTCTGCATGCAGTGGAAACTGCAGTGATTTGGGAGAAAACCAAGGTTGAAACACCAACTCTGTCACATGTGTGACTCTGGGCCAGATCCTCTCCCATCATCTGGGGATGGTGGTGCCCCCATGGTGAGGTTGCTGGTAGCATTGGGTGAGAAAGAGAAGAGGGGTACAGGGTACAGGTGTGCATAGCAGCTGGGCCACAAAGATCCTGCACTGAGGCGGCAGGAAGTCCCTGTGCCCTCTGTCGACCCAGGAAGAGAAGTTCTTGGAGTCTGTGGTTCCGGTCAAATTTAAGAGGTGCAGAGGTCAGGAGAGGGGTTGCCAGGTTGGGCTCAGAGAGAGCCCAGGCTGGGCCGCTCTGCCATGGCCCAGCTTCCCGGGGTGGCTGCACTCGGGCTAGGTGGGGCTTGACTCACCCGTGTGGGGGTGATAGACGTGTCCAGCTGGCACTTGGTGCAGGAATTCATTGGCTACAACTGGCCATCAACCAGGTTACCCACCTGGACACTGCTGGCAGAACCCTGCCCAGGCCCCACCCACACATTCTCAGTATTTGGTCTGGTGGGGCTCTGGTATCTCCTATTCTTAAAATATCCCCTGGTGATTCTGAGGTAGGGGCACTGGCCCACGCAGGAAGTTATTGCCCAGGCAGCTCTGGAGTTGGCCCAATCTTTTCTCCATGTGCCTCATCCAGCTTCCAGGTGTTTTCTTTCCTACCTTTGCTAATAAGGAAGCCATCTGGAATACTAAATAAATAAATAAATAAATCTCAGTGTTGGGGAGAATCTGAGCTGACACGCAGTAAGGAAACTCTGAAAGCTGGAGGAGGGAGCCCAGCAGGCCTGGCCAGACCCTAGGCAGAGTCAGGCCACCCTGTACACCTGCCCCCCCAGTCCTGGAAAGGATCCATCTCAACCCCCAGGGCTGACTTTCCTTGCCCACCTCCTCCCATATCCCTCAAAATCCTCAATGCCCACTAACGTGGGTTGGTGTGAACTGCTGCTTTACCTGGGGGACCTCGGGGAGACTTACCTCATCCACACCCTAGAGAAGACCTCTAAGCACAGTCTCAGGTTACTTTCCAGATCACTCCAGCTGAGACTGGGTGCCCAAGGCAGTGTGGGGGGGATTTATATCAGGGAGCATCCCAGAGGGTGCTTAGGCCAGTACAGGAGGTGCAGCTGCGTGGGGCTGAGGGGGCACTGGGTGGGTCAGGAGAGAGGCCCTGAGAGAGGGAGGGTCAGGAAGGGCAGGGCCACTGGGGTGCCCAGAGTGCAGCCTCGGTCACCTTGCCTGGCCCTGAGACCAGGAAAGAGAAGAGTCCTTTTCTTTCTGCCCTGTCTCTGGGCCCTGCTCCTGGGCTCTTGCCACTTAAAGAGTCTGGTGACATACCAGAGTGGCCAGGTTTTATTTGCACACCCACCAGTGAGGGTTGGCTCCACGTGGACACAAGGAAGGTGGGTGGGTGGGGTGGGAGGCCGGGCAGCAGAGCTAGGCTGTGGAGTTTCACACTTGCTGCACCTGGGTCAGAAAGAAGACGGGGCATTGATGAGAGCTGATGGGCTGGTCTTCTCTCCTTCCAGGTGCGTGAAGGATGAGACCTACCGGTCCTACCCCCAGCCGTCTTCCCGTGTCGCCCGCTTCAAGTTCAACGCCTTCCACTTCCTGAACCGCTTCCCCTCTGTGTACCTGCAGTGTAGAGTGGTGGTGTGTAGGGCCTATGACTACTCCTCCCGCTGCTACAGAGGCTGCGTGGTGAGGTCCAAGAGGGATGTGGGCTCCTACCAGGAGAAGGTGGACGTTGTCCTGGGACCCATCCAGCTGCAGACGCACCAAGTGAAGAAGAGGAGCCTGGGCAAGGGGTCACCCTCGGACCCTGCTGCCCACAACGGCACAGGTCCATAACTCTTGTGGACTTGAAATGTTTCTGTTGGTGTCACGTTCCAACTCAAATTGAGCACCTACTGTGTACTAGGCACCCTGCATGCTATATCTAACCATACAAGTTGAAGCACCCAGTTCCTGCCTCCATGCAAGGCTGTGGTATCGGGCGTGGTCAACATAGATCTGCCTGGGTGGCTGTCAGCCTGACACCTTTATCCTTTGGGGTCTGAACTCATTTATTAAATGAAACTGTGAATACTTGTCTCTCAGGACTGTTGAGAGGGTTCCATAAAATGATGCTGATTAAACTGCCTCAGCCCTGTCTGGTACAAGTCATTGGGTGCTCGGCGAGTGGGAGTTTTTGTTACTATTGTTCTTGTCACTCGTGTTAACAAGATGATGATAACACATCCCTCACAGTGACGGCGTCAATCTATCAGACTAGATGCTCTGAAATTTGTTCTAGCTGCTGGCAGGGTTCAGCCTGGTGCAAGCCATTTTCATTTTTGTCTTTGGAACAAGGAACGTGACTTCTGCGCGGTGTTTCTCTGTGGGCGAGGATGGGGAAAGGTTTGTAGAGGGTTTCCCAGGGTTTTTGCCCCAGGCTGGAGACAGGTGAACAGCTATGGTGGCCATGCTGCTGGGGACAGGGTGGAGCCACTATAACTGTCACAAACCCTCCCCGTCAGGGTGCACCCATGGTCGTCTTTGACAGCTCTCTCCCTCATGTGCCCTGTCCAGGCAGTCTCCAAGTCCAGCTGATTCTAGACTCTTTCCTCCCATATTCACTCATTCAGTGCATGTTTGTCAAAGGCCTAGTGTGTGCCAGGAGGCAGATAAATGACCAGATATGACATGATCACTGTCTCTGTCCTGGGGAAGCTTATCATCCAGAGGGAGGAGATGGAGGTCAGAGTAAGTCTGTGCGCTCTCCATCAACCAGGCGGGGACAAGGAGCCAGGACAGCAGGGTGGGTGAATGGCCCACAGGGACAGTGCTCACCTCTCTCTTTCCTTCCACTCTGTGTAGCCACTGCAGCAGCTCTGGTCCTTGGAGCTCTTACCTGGGACTTCTGTAGCCACTGCCCCACAGTGGCTAAAAGCCCAGCTTGCTCCACCCCATGCCCCTCCAGTCTGTGGCCGGGTTTACTCTCTCCAAGCCCAGATCTGTGCTCCTGCTCAAGAAACCTTCCCTGACTCCCCTTGGCCAGGAAGATGACATGAAATCTTTCTAGTCCGGCGCCCAGATGCCTCAGTTTCCCCTTTGGCATTTCCCTCTGCCATTTCCTTTATCATCTTACCAAATGGTTCTGATTGCTTTAGCCCCTGCTGGGGACCACAGCCTTCACTATCTCCCTTCTCTGCTCCCTTCCCTGCTGGGCTCTGTCCTAGTGCCAACTCTATTATCACGGTCTCCTCTCCTTCCCAGACCTGTTGGTGGCTGACATGGAGGAGCTGGGAAGCTCGGGGAGGAGGGGAGGGGAGGCATCACAGCACTTCACAGCACTTCTGTCCTTGGGGGGGGTCTTCCTGGCTGTGTCCTGGTGTTGGTGGCCTTCATGCTGGGGAGTGGCTAGCCTCTGAGCTCTAGGATGTGATGCCAGAAGATGCTCAGGCATTGTCCTCATGTGCCCAGGTGCCTGAACGGATAGAAGGAAGGAAGGTGCAGACCTCGGCACCCAACAGCACCTAACTCTGTTTATCTTGGCACAGGTGTATGGTGGGGGAGGGGCTTGAGATGGGGGTCAAGAGAGGTGGGGGCCAGGTTGCTCCCAGATCCGCAGGCTCAGTGCTGGGGCAAAAGGAAAACGGGTGCTGATACGTAAAATCCTGCATACAACTGCAAGTCGAACGTAAGCAGCCGGGGCGTCCTCTGGATAGGACTTTTATGAGCCTTTGCAGACCAGTTTTAGGCCTGTAGCATAAATCTCAGCCTTTCTTTGTTCTTGGGGAGGGTGAACAAACAACCTTTTCCAAAGCCAGTGTCAGTTAGGCCAGTGTTTCAAGTATCTCATCTAAGTACTGGATCCCTTTAAACTGAGCAGACAGGGAGGGAGGGGTGTCAGAAGGAACAAGGTGGGGCAGTTCGTGTTCGTGACTTCCCGGTGTCCTTGGCATGTTTTGGTTTTGCCCAAAGCAGGATAGACAGGATGAAGGCCAGAGGAAGACAAGCAGGCTAACTGCATCGTAGTTGTTAGTATTTGTGATTTGAAATTAAAGATGATTATCTTCTTCCCTCCAGGAATGTCCTTCTTTTGGTTTCTGATATCATATCGAGAACTCTTGTCTGGAAAGGACTCAGAGAAGGAAGTGAACTCCCCAGGACCCTGAGGATAGGAGTCCTGTTTGCATGAGGTTTCCAGGGAGAAGGGGTGGACAAGTGTCCCAAGGAGCATAGACACACAAAGGGATGACGTGGGTTCTGAGGAGGCAGTGAATTTGCGGGAAATTAGGAGAGGAGACAGACCTGGGACTCCTAGGCTGGGCTCGGTAGGAAAGGGAGCTTTGTTGTACTGCCCTGCAAGCCAGTGTTTGCTTCATGAAACCAGGCTCAGGACCCCTACCCCAAGAGGGGAGGCTCAGATGAGCCTAATTTCAGAAGTGTATCTTGAGCTGGCAGAGGCTGGAGAATTCCCACAGAGACTTAGCCACAGCCATGGCTCTCCCTAGGGTTGACTAAGAGCTGCCGTCACCAGCCTCCCCAGGATTCAGGCTGAACTCCTGAACCTCACTTAGAGGAGCCAGGGCCCCAGTGACTGTCCCTTGCTGGTTTCCAGGCTACTCACCATCTCAGCCTGAGATGGTCAAAGAAAGCCTTGAGGGTCACCCCATGGAGGCAAGTCTGTCCTGAAAAGCTATGACAAAGCAATGAAGTGCAGGCAGCAGCCTGGGCCTGGAGGATGCAAGAGCAGCAGCCATGGAGAGTGGCATATCAGAGGGACAGTGACAAGTAACATCCAGGAAAACAGGGTGGGGGTGCAGGACCCAAACCAGGAGGCTGACCCTGTTCAATCACTTGTCTTTCCATCCCAGTGCCAGCCCCAAGCCAGGCTCTAGACTTGTCCTGTAGATGTAGACGGGGGTCGCAGGTGGCCCCGCATTTATTAGGGAGACACTTGTTTCCACCAGTCTCCTCCAGAGTCCCTCCTTCCTTGCGAGTAGCCCCCTAAGACCAGTCATTCCTCACTGGTGACCACTGTGTCCAGACTCACTCTTAGCCATCTGGTGGCCTCTTAAAGGAGGCGGTAATGGCCCTTTTGTCAGCAGAGCCCTGCTAGGTGGGGGCAGATGACTTTGGGAGCAAGAAGCAGTGAGGTTCAGGAAACAGGCAGAGCAGAGGACACACTGTTAGTGACAGGGTCTCTGGACTGAAGCTGTCAGTGTGACCAAGGACCCAGTCACAGAGGACACAGAAAGGCAGTTTTGCTGCGAGCAGGGACTCCTCATCCCCTCCATGTGCAGGGGAAGATGGGCTGTGATTTCCTGCAACTGAGGCTGGGGCTTACAGCAAGGACGCCCAGCTCTAGCTGCATGGGAGAGTGATCTGGGAACTTTTAACCCTTCTGCCGCCAGGCTGCTCCCAAACCCGTTAGATCAGCATCTCTGTGACTGGGCCTGGAACTTCTGGTTTAGGGGTCTTTAAATCCCTATGAAAAGAGTCTGCCTGTGCCCTGCCCATGAGAAGGAGCAGTGGAGGCTACAGGTCCCTGCTGTAAAGACAGGTGGACTTTGGGGGCTGGAGGCCCGGCAGGCTTGTCCTCAGTGGTTTCCATTTGCTATTACATTCAAGTCCCAAAGGCCATCTCACAATGTCACTTACCTAAAGTACCTTGTTTCTGCTAATTCCCACTGCCCCAACCTCTGCTGTTCATCGGACTTGCCATGAAAGAAATAGTGGTTAAGCATCTCCTTTCAGGGACCACCTCAAACATTTGTGAATCTGTCCTTCCTGACAGCTGTGTGCTCATGTACTACCCTTCTCACCTGGCAGGGAGGAAGATGCAGGTTCACGCAGGTGCGGCAGCACACAGCACACACAGGATCCAGGCAGACCGTGGCAGAGCAGGGCTCTGAGTTGGGGTCTCTGACTCCTGGTACTGGGTTACTGTCCCCCTCCTTCCATTAGCACAGGGTACCCTGTACCCAGGGGGCCTGGCCTCACACTGAGCTTGCACAGGGCGCTGCATCTGACATCTGCCTGCAGCTTCTCTGTGGGGCAAAGGATGGCTTTCCACGAGTATGGGGCCATCTTCACCACATCCACACCCAGTAGCCTGGGACCTCTGCTCCCTCCGCCTGGTGGGGGCTCCTCCAGCTCCCCCATTATCCAGGGCCTGTTTAGAGCCCAGTGATCCTGTACCAGCTCTGACCTCAGCAGAGTGATGACACCCAGATGCTGTCCCCTAGGGACCAGGAGAACAGTAAGGCCTGGTCACATGGCACCTGTTCTGAGTTGTTCCCGGGTCCCAATGAAGACAGAGCCTGCCTTCCAGCCCCTTCCAAGGTAACCAGCATCTCTCCTACCACCCTCCTGCCATCCCCATTGCTGACAGCAGAGGATGCTGTTGGCCTAACCTTAGTTCCATTTTTTGAAAGAGGAACTTGGTCACTTTGTTTCCTTGGGGCCTGTAACTGTCCTTTATAGGAGGTGGTTCCTTAGTGTTTAGCTCTAAAAAGGGCCTCTTGCAAAAGCCTCCAGGGCCCCCTTCCTTATGATAAGGAGTCAGAATCTGATTCTGGTCTCTGACAGCAGAGTGGTAGCAAGGTTGTGAGAGGGACATGTTTAGCCTTTCTGTAGCTTTTATAGTAACGCCTTTCTGCCCCGTCCCTACTCCTGGCTGAAGGCGGCTGCCCCACAGTCCTCCTGAAATCTGTCTTCTCCAGCCCTGTCCTGGGCACCACAACCTCTGTAGTGGCTGGCACCAGGTTCTTTTCAGAGCCAGGGCTCTTTCCCCTGTAGGTTTGATGACATCAGGTGGCTTCTGGCGTGTGCTATTCAGGGACAGTATCAGCTCATAGTCATTTTTTTTTTTTTCAGGAGTCAAAGGGCTTGACCTCAGAGTCACCTGCCCACTGACTGTTGGCTTAGGAGACATGGTGGTGGGAGCAGGGTGTGGCTCTGAGTCAGTGGGCACTAGGTGTTCCCATGTATCCCCTTGGTGCTTGTACAGTGGTTCTCAACCTTCCTAATGCCATGACCCTTTAATATAGTTCCTCATGTTGTGGTGACCCCCAACCACAAAATTATTTTGCTATGATAACAACGAAAATAATTTTATGGTTGGAGGTCACCACAACATGAGG